CCAACCAGTAAGCAGGCTGAGGTTGCGTGTTACCCCCCCAGTAACCAGGCTGAGGTTGCGTGTTACCCCACCGGTAACCAGGCTCTGGTTGCGTGTTACCCCACCAGTACCTTACTCCTACCGGTTTAGGAACGGGGTCGCATGGTCCGGGCTGCAAAGGTTGTACGGAAGGTTCGGACATCTGCGCTGACTGTAATTCAGTATTGTATGTGCCTCCATTGTTCGCGCATATGGAGACTGACCCCGAGCGCACAGGGATCGGAGGCGTCTGCCAGTATTTCCCGTATGATTGGGATAGAAGACCCGATAATATTAAACCTGTAACAATATATTTAAAATATACAATAGTTAATTTTAAATATTATTTTATCTATACTTATAATAAATCTGTAGAGATGTCAATTCTGTACATGAAATATATTTTTAAAATAACTATCAGGGGGTGATTAGTGATCGATACTGATGCCAAAAATGCAATCAGTAAGATTTATGTCTGTCTGTCTGTCTGTCTGTCTGTGTGTATGTTCCTTATAGAAACAAAAACTACTCGACGGATTTAAACGAAACTTGGTACAATTATTCTTCATACTCCTGGGCAGGTTATAGTATACTTTTCATCACGCTACAATCAATAGGAGCAGAGTAGTGAAGGAAAATGTTGGGAAAACGGGAGAAGTTACTGCATTTTTTAAGCTTCAGTCACATGTGCAGCCTTAATGGTTAAAGTTACATAGAAATCATGTATGACGGAAATATTCTACATAAAATTGTCTAAAAAATATCCTGCAACAGCATATGTTTATCTTTTATGGTTGACTCACAATAACAGGTGTAATTATATAAATAAAGTCATTGTTTATAACACAAGCCTGAGAACAAAAACTATAGTTTACACTACAGCTCTACACCGAAGCGAAGCGAAGGCCGGCCACTAGTTATGTATATGATCCTAACTAAGTAGGTAGGTACCTACTTAGTTAGTATTATAAATATGAAAGACAGTTTGTTTGTTGCGCTGTCACGTCTAAACCACTGAAGTGATTATGCCGAAATAGAGATAGATGGGACCCTGAATACAATTTTAGGCTACTTAATATGTTATGTAAAAAATACTCGGGCGGGAGGATGGTGAATTAGTCATGATAAACCACGTAGTCGCTATAAGATATTTTTTATCCATATATAGGTAGGTATCTATGGGTAAAAAAGATCTAGTGTTGTGTGGTAGGCAAGGTGTGAACTTTACCTCTTACTTCACACTGAGGCAGACTTTTGTAGGTCATCATTATCATCATTATCAGCCGATGGACGTTCACTGCTGAACATTGGCCTCTTCTAGGGATCTCCAAACACAACGATCCTGGCTTTCCATATTCAGTGAATACCCCCTGACTCGCTTGATGTCGTCAGTCCACCTGGTAAGGGGTCTACCGACGACACTGCGCTTCCTGGTGCGAGATCCCCAACGTCCATCGGTTCGCTGAACAATGTGCCACCCGTTGCCACTTCAGCATGGCGATCCGTTTTGCTATGTCGATTACTCGAGTTCTCCTACGGATTTCGTCATTCCTGTTTCAATCACGTAGAGAAACACCGAGCATAGCTTTCGCCGTCGCTTTCTGTGCGACTCCGAGCCTTCTTCGCGAAGTTACCCGAACGCTGCCCAGCCGAGTTGGATTCGGCGGTTTACCCCTTTCTTCAAATTGGACTTACCCAAGTGGACTACTTGCAACAATACAATTTCGAGTGCAGAGTTTTCAACGATTACCGGGTGGAGCGGAAAATGAGCGGAGTTAGATATGATTTTCGTCTTACTCATGTTTATTTTAAGGCCCACCTGTTAAGAGGCTCGGCTGAGGTCATTGAGTAGTGTAGGTATTTTAGTATAAAGTTCAACATTCAAATCATTTATATCAATTTTCTAAAACTTGAATAAACTTTAAAAAATATAAAAGCTCTAAAGTATGTGCATCAGCAATTATCCACCCCTCTCTCGTCAAAGTAAAAATTCAATAAGGCCTTCGTACCTATATTTATTTACATAGTGTAATAGAATTTATTACATACCCAAAAGTGGACCGTACATTCTTGCAATCACTTCGAAACGTATAGTACTTAAATTTCATTGAAACCTTTACTATATATACTTAAAGTAATACATGTTCAATTATTTACAATAATAGAATAAATGTTGATAATAACATCTGATATAAAATACAAGTTTAATAATTTTATAACAAATTAAGTTTTGTTACTGTTAATATAGAATGATATCGCTATCGTAAAAACACCGTTTAGCACAATAATGCAAAACATAGCAAATCATTACATAGGAACTAAGTACCTACTCAATTACATGCATATTATACCAAACAATTGAATTGATATTTTCATACCCAAGAGCTCGAAGTAGCAGTGTAGCCCCTTTCAGCTGTCCGAATGTGTCAATTTTGTTCATGTGTTCCAAAAATACGCACCAGATACTCGTTTACATTGGGCAATAAGTAAGTTTGTGAAAAGCACGTTCAAAAAACAGTTTGATTCGTAAGACGTGAGTCTACTTACTTTCAATTTGATAGAAATGCTCAGACAATGTTATAATAAGTAATTCAAATATGTGCCTCTCATCCACATAGTGTATGATGGTATCGCAACGTAGCGAGACGTGAGTCTTTTGTCAAATAAAACGTAAAAGCACGGTCCACGATTCGCGAGGGAAGTACGATACCGTACCTACTTCCCACGCATCCGTGAAAAGTTACTCGGATACCTAGACTTTTCTTACTAACTGTCTCTCAAACCGGCACTTCACTTAGCTATTCGTATTTGCTATTTGTTAACTTGACAACAGTCTGTCCTTATGATTTATAAGGAATGAAAAGGACATTTATGTCTAGTTGACAAATAGCAAACGTAAGTGCCAGTATTAGAAGATTCTTATTATGTTTTTTACGATACCTTTTAGTACGGTCATTTTCAGGTTTGCGTACACATTTTTACATGAGTACGCAAACACTTCGGTTCGGTTACAGTTCGTGTAAAGGGTATTTATTTATTTATTTATTCATTCATTGCATATCACATTCACAAAAATAAGGTGGTACATAATATAAAATAAGGGTACGGTACCCCTAGCATGAACCATTATCGAATTCGAATAGTTTGCGAGTGCGAAATGTCAATGTCATATTTTGTATGAAAACTTGAACAGCAGCGCCACAATGGACGTAACGAGAACTAAAAATCAGTATACATTTGACAATGACATTTCATACTCGCAAACGATATGAATTCGATGTTAGTTCGTGCTAAGGGTACAGTAACCTTAGCACGAACCAATATCGAATTCGAATAGTAATGGTTCGTGCTAAGGGTACTGTACCCCTAGCACGAATCAATATCGAATTCGAATAGTTTACGAGTGCGAAATGTCAATCTCATATTTTGTATGAAAATTTGAACAGGGTACAGTCCCCTCAGCACGAATCAATATCGAATTCGAATAGTTTGCGATTGCGAAATGACAGTCTCATATTTTGTATGAAAACTTGAACAGCAGCGCCGAAACGGACGTAACGAGAACTAAACTTGATAATGACATTTGGGATTTGCTAAAGTTACGAATTCTATATTGGTTGGTGCTAAGGGTACAGTACCCCTAGCACGAACCATTATCGAATTAAACGAATAGTTTGCAAACCGAAATGTCAAATTTTGTATGGAAACTTGAACAGCAGCGGCACAAAGTACGTTACGAGAACGAAAAATCAGTACACATTTGACAATGCCATTTCGGACTCGCAGACGATACGAATTCGGTATTAGTTCGTGCTAGTACAGTCCTATACATGCTTTCTCGAATATTTTTATCGTGGCTTCGAAAGATGGTCGTATCAATGACACACGACTGTCGCTATAGCCGTTCCCATTGACTTGTAAATCGTCCGTCCTCACTGCGAAAAAAAGTCGTGGAAGGCAGTTATCGTATAGTCCTATTATGTGAACATCTTCATTCAAATATACAAACCCTGACGCTTTAAACGAGATGATAATATGTCGTCACGATATAATAGGAACTCGAAACAGAGCGCTTATTAACAACCAGTTTTCCGCCGGGTCCAGGCACGGTTTCTACCCGGGCCGGTGCCGGCTAAGCTTGTCCGCGAGCAGGGTTTGTACGTTACCCAAACCGTTCTACATTACCCACCCCAAACTGTCGCTTGCTGCGCTGGTGGCGTTAACAAACTTCCTTAGTGCCCCATACTTCAGACGTTGACACGGTTTAAAACCGTGCCTCTACCTGGGTAGAAATAGTCTCATTAACAAGTATCTTACCCCCTTATTAATAAACGAAGAATAAGCTCTGATTAATTACTCCGTGTTTTGTCTCTATTCATTGAATGACAAATGGTATATGAGTGACATGAACTAAACACGGTGTAACTAGTATAAGCTTATTCCTCGTTTTTTGATAAGGAGGTTAGTATGCATGCAAATGACAACAAATTGATTATATTATGAAGTCATGGGGTCTATTTAGGCGAATGTAGCGATTTTGGCCTTGAATCGACGTGTGTCGACAATGTCATTGTATCTTTCTACTTCTGGATTTTCGGCTCGGTCTATCTGAAGAGAGGAAAATGGACTTATGGCAATTCACCCTCGCTCACACCTTTCTCACTAGACTCATACGAAAGTTAGCACTTTAAAATTTTATCGAACTCTTTGAAAAATAGTTTTTCACGACCTCAATATATTGTAAGACTTATCTAACGCCACTTCACTCGATTAGGGATTAGATGATAAAAAATACATTAGCACTCTTATGTGTAGAGAAGGTTTTGTCTGCGTCAGTAAAATGTATGTCCATACTTAACAACAGCTTCATATGAGCTAAGCTGCAGACTTTACTTTTTTTAGAACCTAAAATAGAGAATCTATAAAATAAGACACAGTATGATTTAGCAAATTTTCATTTCTATTTTTAACAATGATTATTTTCAAGAGCAACATATTCGTTTCTTGTTCAACCAGTACAATGGGGACCAGAATTTTGGTGGCCACTTCTTATTTTTTGTCGTACATCTACCACAAGGTGGATATTTCGTTCGTTTCCTTCTACGTGTCGTCGTGTTAGGTTTCGGACGACGAGTTGTACTAGGTTTGGTATATGGACTTTGTGCTTCGTTGTAATCCGGATCCGTCAGTGTTTCTTCATCAGGTTTGAATGATTCGTTAGTAGGTGATTCAGTTGGTTCCAGTTCATCAGTCTTAGGGTCTTCATTTTCATATTCGATTTGAGACGGATTGTTTTGTGTGTCCATATCTAATTCTGCAGATTCAGATTTCGGTGTAGTTGGATGGTTTCCTTTTGTTGTTGGCCGTCTGCTTGTTACTGAGCGTCTTGTTGTGGAAAGCGTTTCAAAAGGGTAAAAAGGGTCCATCCATCGTGGTACTGTAGGAGTAATAACTCTAAAATTTTCGCATATCCCTGTATGTAGTATGTGAAGGCTGGGATTATATGTTTGAGCCGCTTTGAACTCGCAAAGTGTGCCATATGTGATACCATCAGATCCGCATAAATATGGTGTATTGGAAGGTTCTCTAAAAGGACAGTTGAAAGGCCAGAATGTTCCATGCGACGACGGCACTAACATCGTCCAGCAGACTAACAACCCTGTAAGTTTATGAAATTAATTTTTATTTGTAATTAATGATAATGAGACGATTTGTATTAATACAATACTAGCTGACTCGGCAAACTTCGTACCACCCAAAAGTAATTATTTGCAATAAAATAATATTGGGTCTATAAATAGAAATGTAAGCTATTCTTTCTCTCAAGTTGGATCAAACTGCACACGGTGTGCAAATTTGATTAAAATCGGTTAAGTAGTTTAGGAGTCTATCCCGGACAAACAATGTGAGGCCTTGTTTATACACTTCTGGACACATCTATTGGCCCACCTAGTATTTTCAGTTTCGTTTGGTCCTAGCTAAAATTTTATATTAGGTCGAGCAAAAAGTTTTTATGCAGTTTTGAACCTGGCACATTCACAATTTCATTCAATAGTCTTTTTTTGAATTTCGAACACAGAATTTAAAGAAACAAAAGACAATTTGGAGCCTGTTTGTTGATATCAAACAATCGAATACTAAGAAAACTTGGTTTTATTGGTTTACTTGGATTTAATTCTGGAAAAAGTGATTGATATCTTTGGTTTTGCAACCTCACCTTAATGTTAAGAATAAGTAATGTTTTACTTATTCTTAACATTAAGGTGAGGTTCTATCAATAATCTATGGATACTTCACCTGAAGTCGCCGCCCAAGCTGTGGCACTTATTCAGGCCGGACACAGCCAAAGAAACGTGAGTGCTCAACTTAATTTAAGTCGATCTGCGGTCCAAAATGTTTATCGGAGGTACCTAGAGACTGGCGGCTTTGTTCGTCGCCAAGGAAGGCCACGATCTCGGGTCACAACTGAAAGGCAGGATCGATTCATCGTGACGACCAGCTTGAGAAATCGTCACCTTACCTCCATTGAGATACAAAAACAAATTCGCGACTTCCACGGAGTATCTGTGAGCGCTCGAACTGTTCGGAGAAGGTTAAAAGAACGCGATATGGTACCATACAAGCCAGCTAATGGACCTAAAGTAACGCGAGCCCACCGAACAGCGCGCCTTTATTTCGCACGCAGTCATTTAAATTGGACACAGCAACATTGGAGCCGTGTACTCTTTTCTGATGAGTCTAAAATTGTGTTACATGGCAATGATGGAAGGAAGAAGGTCTACCGACGTAAGGGAGAGCGTTTCGCACAATGCTGCTTTGAAGAGAGGGTTGCTTATGGCGGTGGCTCATGGACTGTCTGGGGCGGTATATCCGACCGCCCCAGACAGTCCATGGGCGAGGCGAAACTCAACTTGAGGTTGTTACAGGACCACGGCTGCCAACATTAAATGCTGAAAGGTACATTCGTGAGTGCTTAGAACCTCACGTGATACCACCATACGCGGACTATGTGGGCCAAAATTTCCTTTTTATGCATGATAATGCAAGAGCCCATGCGGCCGGCATCGTCAGGGAATATCTTCAGGATGTGAACATCACAGTTATGGACTGGCCAGCCAGAAGCCCTGACATGAACCCCATTGAGCACACGTGGGACGAGCTAAAAAGACGTGTTAGGGCTCGTCAGCCAGTTGCCCAGACGATGCAGGAGTTGAAAACTGCCATAGAAGAGGAATGGGAGATGATCCCTCGAAATTTCATAGAGCGGTTGATAAACTCTATGCCTAATCGTATGAGAGCTGTGGTAGATGCCCATGGAGGCAACACGCGTTATTAAATTAAACCTTTATTTGATAAAACATGTTTTTTATTCAAAAAATCAATTGCCTTTAACAAGGCGCATATCTGACTTGTTAGGCGTAGCTCCATGTCGTATGGTATTCTGAATTCAAATTTAAAACAATACGATCGAAAAAGATGGCAAAATGTATCAGGTTTAAAACTGCATCAACAGTTTTTGTTCAATCTAGCAATCATATATCGGTAGAGGCCATCGAAACCTAAACTCTAAGGTGGGCCAATAGATGTGTCCAGAAGTGTATATACGAGTATTAACATAGACCAAGACAAAGACCAAATATCTACACAGACTATATACGAGTATTATCCTATTTTTATTTACTGTAATTTTTATTCGGCAATTAGACGTCCTTTGGACAAAATTATATTACCATAGTCAAAAACCATACGATATACTATTTGATAATACAAAATAGAACCTATTGTACGCTTAACTAATAACATGAATATAATAATCGCTAGCTAGCTCTAGCTTCCGGCCGTGACTTCGTCGTTACGAGAACCCATTAGGAATTATAATTTTTTTGAGAATAAAAAGTATCCACGTCACAATCCTGGCAATAAATTATATGTGTCCTATTTTCCACTCACTTATATAATAATATGTGATATTATTATATAAGTGAGTGGAAAATAGGATCTAATAAAACTTACCAATAGTATCTATTCCCATAATGCTACCGAAACCAGTACCTACGTTTATGTACAAATAAAAAAAAATATAAGGTACCTGGTAGCCGATTGAATAGCTATTAAAAATACAAATCACTTTTTGTTTTTCGAGAATTAAACACGAAGTCGTTATAAGTTTATAAATACCCAATCTGTCATGGCAACTCTGTTAATAATTTGGCCAGTTTACGTAGTAAAGCTAAGGAATATACTGTGTTTATAAATTTCACATTGATATCCTATTAGTGTGTTCACTGTCATAGTGTGGTTAATAAGAAAACATAGTAACATGCCTCAGTGATGCACTTGTATATTAAAGGAAGCGAACAGGCATATTAGAGTTTACGCATAATAATAAATGGGAATATTAAAAAAAAACCCGTGGTAAAAATAATTTAAAATAGCAAAAAATAAAATGAGTTGGCTCTTTTTAACTTTATTATAACTCGAACTCGGACCCTTCGCTATTCCGGGCGAATGCACTGACTTCGCGCCATCTCTCCGCTAAAGAAATTGATATTTAAGTACGTTTTTTTTTTTGCTCTCTCATTTCGTAGTCCCCTGACTTGACGATGTCTCGGACTAACTATTTAATATATAGTTTTAATAAAGTCAAAGGGCCAACAAATTGAATTTGTTCGCTATTTAGATTTTATTTAGGTCAGGTTTTATTAAATTTCCAATTAAATTTTTATTTCAATATTTTTAAATGAATAGTAGACAAACAACGTTTCGATCGTCAGTTATTCAATGAAACCATTATTATGAGCACAAACAAGCTACATCTGCTGTAGGAAGCCCAGGAGTTGTAGTTGAGTTGCACTTTTACTTTGCTGATATTTCCAAGACATGGTGATGATGATGGCAGGTGACGACGCAGTATGAGTACCTGATTCTAAGGTGCACAGATAAAGGAAAAAATTGCGAAAACCGTAAATTTTTAGTTACATCGCATTTTTTTAACCTACAGGTGCCCTCGGTGCGCGATTCTGACTCGCACTTGGCAGGTTTTTTACCTACTTCTGGATAATACTCGGTAAACATCTAAATTTTATGTCCAATTTCGTTTCAAATTTTTAATCTACTACAATGGTTGAGTTTCAAACGTCAGCCTAATTTATCAAATTGCCTATTGCGCAAACCATAAAAGAGATTGAAAACTATTATCTTGTTTATTATATTTATTTAAGCATTAGGCTGTTCGATTTATAAACAATATCAAGGGAACATTGATTTTTATGTTAAACCTGGTTAATAACTATTTTTTCATCGTGTATTTCATCTTTTTGCTATTACGTAATAGGTCGAAGAAAATTTATCATTTCAATTTCTTTTTAATATGCTTTGTTGTATTTATATCGGTTGTATGATCCCGGGGCGCGTGTTTTAGTTACCGCTTCATTTTCTTTACATTCACCGTTATGTTTTATATATAGATATGGTTGCGTCAATTTCGCATACAAGGCCTGGCATTTATTTGAATAAGTTTTTCCGTCGGAACAGCAAACAGGGGCCCATATTGCGGGGCAGAAGTTCGGCTCGACATCTTGCCTCTTTTTCGGGAATCTTCTTGGTTTTCCTCTATCACTTCTGCCGAGCATACTGCTTTGTTGTAGGTCATTATCGGTGAGTTGTTCTGGATCGTTAAACCTGCAGTACCCCGGATGCAGGGGTAGTAGGTCTTCGTTTTTCTGTTTGGCCAGGCTCAGGTGGCAGATGCTGTCGTAAGTGTTGCCGTCGTTGCCGCAGACTGGTTCGCTAGATACGCACGACACAGCCACCACGTAGCTCCATTTCATCAACCCGCAGAGGAGTGTCAGGTACGCTGTAACTATAAGAAACAAAATTAGATGTATATTTAATTTTGTAAAGACATATATTTATTTAAAAAATTGAGATAACAGATTACTTTCTTTTTAGTTTTCTTTTCAGAACAACAACGTATACGGCAGAAATATTTCAGGGAAATACGTGTTAATATAATTTATTTATTAGTTACATGTGAATAATAAAGTATATGATGACAATATATAATACAATTTTTTTTAACTTACAAAATAGCATTACAGTTTAGTCAGACCAAGATACTGCATACAAGTAATATGAAATATCCATTTAATAGATATGAGCTGATTTACTAAAACTAATCGATGATACACACGATTCGAATTAATAATATTAAGGGGAAGGTTGACGCATGTTTAGATTCTTGTTAAATATGAAACTTATAAATATGAGATATTTAACAATAATTACATAATATATTGGTTGTATTTCCACTACGCATTGTTTTCATTTTTATATGATGGTCTTGTTCGCTCTAAAAAAATAATTAATATTCAAAGTGACAACTTATCACTTCTACACAAATATGAATTGTAAACTTATAATTTTTTAAATCACGATACTGTTTATCATGAAATGATAACGTATTTTTTTTTTTTGTTGTCCAAGTCACATTGTCACATTGGTGGAGTTATTTTGTTATTGCAAGCACAGTTATGTATTATCTAGTAGTAATTACGTTATTTTCAGAGCAAACAAGTGTGTTCACTAACATTAAATGTAGTTGTTGACTGCACTGGAAGATGAACTTTATTTGGATATCGGTGTAGGAAGGCCAAAGGGGAAGATCTTCCTCCGAGCTGCGTGATGTTAGCTCGGGGGCCGCGGCCCGATTGATATTAGTCGGGCATCGTATATAGGAAGAGTTAGCCTCCGAATTTCATTTGCGCGATGTAGGCTTCCATACTATTAAGATCGCAGTGCAGGTAACGCCATCTCTTGAGGATGGTGAGTAATGATTTCCTCGATCCGTTGTATATATGTGGGGCATATAGATGTCCCCGCCACATCGGTAATAAATATGTTCTAATAATAAAATGTAGGCCACCCACACCCACTTAAGTTGATTAAAAAGTAAGTAGCCCACCCATTTTTTGTTGTTGGTTGGTTTGGTGGTTGCGGAAGAGTTGGTGGTAGTTGCAAAGCCACGTTAGTGGATACATACAATTTGATTTACAGTGCCTTATCACTTAGCACTTGCGTTCCCCTAAAATATTGTTGAGCGGAGCGATGGCTGGTTCATGCGTCATGCTCGTGAGCGGGTGATGCCAGCGGAGAGTTTTCTGCCCTAACTTCCTTGATATTGAAGATGTTAATGTTTAGTTACGTTTAATATAAATACCAGTATTTGTTTTTATACTGTATGGCACAGCAATCAAAATGTAGGTAAAGAATTAATGTATATTTCATCATTATGTAATAAAAGGTGACTTCATGAATCATCTCTGAAGTCATTTTTTAACTTAACGACTCTGTAAATAACAAAACAGGGAGACAAAAACAGCCCTTGTTGAGTTTCTTGCCGGTTCTTCTCAGTACAAGGTCACCTGCCGTAGATTTTACGCACCGATGGCGTAGCTTCTAGACATTCATGAGTGCTTGTAACAGCCTAAACTGAATAAATGATTTTGAATATGATTATGATTATTACCAATAGGAGCGTTATTCGTAGTTCAATTATATTTATTAACGTGTCCATTAATTTCGGCCATTTCGGCCCATCGGCACTTAGTCCTTCGTTACATTGTATTTCTCTTAACACTTTATGGGCTTCATGATGGAACATTTTTGTGGCAAATAAAAAGACCGTTTTTATTTTAAATAAAGTTATCGTTTTAAAACCTACATTATTAGATATTTTATTTTATATATGTTTCTTAGGTTTTCACGCACAGCACTCATTAAATAAAACTAGTTTTTACGGGTTAATGCACGAAACTTTATTTATTTATTGACGTTTTGACGACGTAGCCTTTACAGGCTACGTCGTCAAAACGTCAATAAATAAATAAAGTTTCGTGCATTAACCCGTAAAAACTAGTTTTATTTTATTTTATAGCCGAAAGCTGCAGGGATGGTGATGACTACTCCGATGGCAGCTAGATTCTGATTAATGTTTTTTCTCACTCAGTCTTAATAAATAAATATTATTAAAAATTACGTTTTTTTTCTCAATATTAGTAAAAAAAAATATGGTTATTAGGTATAAAGATTTGGTTAAAAAACGTATTTACAAACTACCCAATGCGCAAACACAACATGCGCATTTTTGCAAAACGGTTCGGATCTTTCCTTCTTCCATTTATTTATAATAAACTAGCTGAACCAGCGATCTTCGTACCGCCCTAAAAAAATAGGGGTTGTCCAGCGGACAAAATTGTGAATCTAAACCATTCTCAGATCCCCTTGAACACACACAAAAAATTTCATCAAAATCGGTCCAGTCGTTTAAGAGAAGTTCAGTGACATACACACTCACAGAAGAATTATATATATAAAGATTAGCAATCATTTGTCAGCAAAAAAAATGTACTGTGAATGAAACGAAGCTTCTTGTGTCCATAAATTTGACATACAAATAATCTGAAAAGATGTAATTTTATATAATAAAGGATATTATCACCTAAAAAATCGAAAAAACTAAATCTAAATTTTAAAATTTTTTTGGTTACATGTTTAGATGTCATAAACTATCAAACACCCCGGATTCGCATGACAGTCGCTTATCATGGTTTTTGAATTTAATATATTAAGTATTGATCACATGGACCTAGTATTAATATCGAAACCTAGGGCATCTTTGATAGATAAGAACAAATTCAAAGTTAGATTATTTTAGTTGTTGTTAGATTTTTAGAGAACCGATGGGCTAAATAATAAATGTTACTGTTTTTGCTAAATATATTTTATTAATTATAATATACACACACACAGTTTTCATAAGAGAATGCTAAGACCACTTTCGTGGTTTTTTATTCTTTACATGGGCACCTTTTTTTTGCATCATATTTTTTGACTTCTTGTCACGAAGTTTATTGACTTGGCTCTCCTTACAACTACCTTGGTGAACTGAAACTAGTTTCGGGCTTATCAAAGTTTGGTAAAGTAAATGGCACTGGTTTATATAAGTTTTACCGTCAGAACCGCACACTGGGACCCAGTAAGTTGGGCAGTATTCTTTGCCGGGAGCTAGGTGCGATGTGCTGAAAATCGAACGGTATTTACGGTTTTTTCCTCTTGGTGAGTTGCTATTCGTGGTGCTTTGCTCAGTTTTCTTTGGTGGGGTAATATGTGTATCTTCTTCGCAAGACTGCTTGTGAAATAGTTGGAGATCATGGTCGTTGCTTTGAGCCGCTTGGAGGTGACAAATGTTCTTGTATGTCTTGCCGTCAGTGCCGCACACCGGAGTCGTAGATTTGCACGATTTTATTTTATTTCTAGTATAGAATGGAGTTACATCGGTTATTGCGGCTAAGATGAGCACAACATACACGAAATCTGAGGAAGAATAATTCGAAATAATTTACATATTACAATAACAAGTTTACAGTACATTCGTAAAAACATTTATTTTCAAAATGCTTCTCATATTAGGTCTCATATGCCATCTATGCTTTCTTAAGACCGGTTTTTTAAAATCACAATAAACAGCAGGCAACAAAATAATAGAAGGTAGGTACCTATGATTGGAGACGCAGATCTTAAAAAGCTTATTGCCATGGCAATGTTCTAATGGAAAACTCGCGAAACCGGCAACTGTCAAATAAACCGGTAATTATTTATCAATAAAAATATGCAATATTGATGAGTAACAAGCGAGTACTACGTATTATAGCAACATCATTACGTTAGTCAAAAGGACTTAAAACAATTGAAACTTCAAACGTCTTTGGAGCAGCAGTGCTATTCTAAGAAAGAATTAACAAACTCATTTTTCACCTCGGAATCCGCGTTGACCTACGAATTTAAAAAAAAATCTCATCTACCGGCAAATACCGCGGTTAAAAAGAGAGTTTGTTCTTACAGAATAGCACTACACGATGGTCGCTTCGGTCAATAGGTACCTACCACTTCTGCTTACCACTTCAATAGTTTTATCAATTTTAGGAACAAATATGACCAAAGCAAAAGACTGAATGAATTGATAAAAGTATGAAGATTGATTACCGCAAAATTGATTAATACTGCATGAAATTAGAAATAAAATTAAGCCAAGATTCTAGGATTCTGTTGGCATTCTGTAGTTTTCTAGCTAGATATTACATCGAGGACGAAGATTCTTAGATCTGCCTCATTTTATTATTTTTTAGGCTTTGTTTCCCGCTGCTGCAAGTAGAATTCCGTTTAACTTGCAACGGTGAAGTTATGCCTAATGTACTAAAAACATATATCGTAATAACGCATCCGATATTATGGACCGATAATAATGCGCCTATGGGGAGAGCTTAATGCTAAGTCGCATAAGGAGATGCAATTTCAAGAGCGATTAAAAATTAGGGTTTCTTGTTAATTTACGAATAACTTCTTTGTCGGTCTGTAGAAAAGGCATAATTTATTCGCATTCTTATTGGTGGTCTATTCCGTTTTACAGTCATTGTTATGCGTTAACAATGTAATTAATTATGTTATATATCGTAATTTTAATTGAGATAAGTTTATTTAATTAGTTTATCTGCATGTAACATCAAGACGGTGTAATGAAAATAAATAGTCATGAGCTAACAAGATTATATAATTAAAATAAAATCATAGGTATATTAAAATTAATCTTTTATTACAAATTTATTTTTAAAATACTTACTTACCTCTCTTATGTTTTTTGGTAAATTTTGGGAATATGATCAATTAGAATTTTACAGAGTTATTAACTTGTTAACTCAAACGATTTTTTTAAATTTCAAAGACTCGCCAATTATTAGTCTAGCCCCAAAGTAAGCACCGAAAGACTTGTGTTATGGAATACTAGGGTAACGAATAGAACTGATACATATACAAGTTTCTAAATATATTTTACGTAGAAATACATATAAACATCTATGACTTAGGAACAAATCTTCGTATTCTCATTATAATATTTGCCCCACCGGAATTCGAACCCAGGGACCTTACGAGTAGGCGATACCTTGAAACCAGGCGTTTATACCATTCACCCACGGAGGCCGTCATCAATTAGTATCTCAGGCAAATTACATAACGGACCAACATTTTGACTGAACACTGTGTGCGAGTTTCCAACTTACTCGTCCGTGTTAACTAATTTGTATGGCAGTTATTGACAGTAGTCTGCCCGGCGTACTCCTAATCGTAGTTGCCTCCAGAGGAGAATTATGTCTGTTTTAACAACTATATAGGTTTTCATTATTTACACATCACTTTAGCTATATACCCTAGCTGTAAAGCATTTGCTCTTAGCTTCGCACAACACCGCTTTGGTGGAGTCCCATCCTGCCATTTGTAGTAACATGTTCATACAAATACCTCTGGATTGTTAAAAACTCGGTAGATATAGGAACGCCAATTCTAATAAAAAAACGCAGTGTACTACGATAATTCTTGTCATGATCATTATGATAAACCGATGTTCTTTTGGCACAACCGAGTTGAAAATTCGCTACTTGTATAGCTCGAACAATCTAGCAAAATTCTAGGTCCATTGCTAGAGTTACTAACGTTTGAGCTTATCTGGGTAAACATGACAATACATAGTATTGGTATTCAAAAACGACCTCTCACGGAAGCTGGACAAAACATGCAAAAAAGGTAAAATATTAGGTACTTTCGCTATTGCATTTTCATTCATATAATAGTAGGAGTAAGTAATAGGATTTCGGAGACTTTAAGTGAATTCCACATTTATTTGAGTGTTTGTTAACAGCCATTACTGTTTAGTTAACGCCGAATAGGGGTGAAAGTATAAGTAGATACGTACATTATAATGCGATGTACTTTTACTCGTACTTTGAAAACAACATCAAAATCGTCTAAAAGTGAATTGCCGTAATAAATGTAATCACATACCTATTTTGTGTTAATAAAAAAATCCAAATCACACTTGCAAATACTCGCAAGTGTGGTTTGGTTTATTGTTTCAAATTTTAGGTTAGTTAATATGCTGTTATTATTATTTTATTAATACTGACCATATTTCTCTAATAATAATAACTCTAAGGAAAGACTCACAGCTAATTGGATTTCTCACTCAAAATTCGTTAAGTAGGTATATTATATTTGCCATATCTATCTTCATCTTGGCGGCCTGAACTAAATCATGGGGGATTTGGTTAGGCCGCAAAGCAGCTAAAGTAAAGACTACAGATGCAACCAAATGTTCAATGTGCCTTCCGAAGTACGAAGGAGATTGAGACAACAAACCAAACTCCTCAAAGGCGTAGTGGATCATTATATTTTCTCTAGACTTTCTTGAAATTCTGTAAGGAAATTAACATACTATGTGTTTCATCTCTTTGTGGAATACGGTTAAGCGAACAGTGATTTTGTATTTGGAGTAAGTGCTTTCGTTAACCTGCTTTGTTTACTCTTTACTTTCGTTTAAGACTGTTCAATACGAATGGACAAGAATATTAACTTAACATTACCACGTTTCCTTTTGAGTATAAGTAGGTATATATTTACGATATATGTATGATGGGATAACCCATAGTTAAAATTTTAAACTGAAGCATTTTGCCTTTATATCGTTTGTATTTTTAAGAGATATAAATAATTTTAAAATTATAACCAAAACCCGTGGCTACCTTGTATGTGACAATATTGTCACATTTTAAATTCTAATTGTATTCTATCTATTTGTTTAGGGTAAAAAGTGAGTACTGATACGGATATAGCTTGGCAATGCCATAATGTTATCTAATCATGCGAAGCCACCCTCACTTTGTCTGCAAAAACAAATTTTCAGGCTATAGATGAATTGAATTTATAACATATTCATGCCTTTCATGAAGTGAGTGTTTTTTTTAGAATTTTACAGGTAAACAGTACATCGCTTAAAGGCTTCAAAGTTCTTTGAAATTGGTTTCATGATCAATTATAATTTCTTTTATCTTCGTTGTTTTCATTTGTTCTTGCATGAATGATGATGGTCGGTGCGATGATGGAGTGTTTGATACAAAGCACCTAAATTTAAACAAACGAATCATGACAACTTTTATAGCGCGGTTTAAATTTGATAACTGCTTTAATCAGAACACTTGTGTATATGGATAGAGATGTAGGTTTTGTAAACTCAGAATCATTTTCCTTGAACCATTTGATCAAAATAGCAATCGTGTTTAACATCGTGAATAGGAACCTTGCTATCGTGACCGTGATTGTATGTAGGCAGTCTTGTTTTCTATCTGTTACCACTTTAAAAATAAGCAACGGCTCTCAATGAAGCAGGATTAACCTGAATTGTAAAACAACATACGCCTTTTATCGTGGTTCTTTAAAATGGAGATAGGTACGCTTTGTAAGCCAAACAATCCGCGGCCATCGGTACCTGCAAGGAATTCCTAATGATACCGTAATAGAAACAAAATGTTTTATTTTCGTGCCTACTTTACATAATGACTAATTCGCTTGAAATAAAATCGAAAAAGTAGTTAGATAAAGAATTTCTTTGCGCTCTTATATTGGCGAAAGATGACATTATTGCGATCGTAAGCTATTAAACCCTGCTATTAATACATTTTACGCACAGTAAAGTTGTAAATTAAAAATTCTACGTATAAAAAAAGCCTTAAATTTAATTATATGGGTAGTTGCTTAGAGCATATGCTCTAAGGCCCAGGCAACCTGTTTACTCAGCATCCCTTTCGAACTTGATCTGTGTTTAATATTACGAAAGCATAGTTTGAGGTCACGCCTTACAAAAGGTTTAATGTTATACAACCTTTACGAGCCGCATTTAAAGACCAACAGATATCTGAAATACAAACAACGATCATAAAAGTTATGAGAGCATTCTGTTGCAAAACATTATGATCGCGATCATTCGCCCCTTGAACAGTACTATTAGTGAATTACACTATTACTGGATGCAATTTGCCTTTAATCTAAATCCTGAGAAAGCTGTGTTTGGCGAGATGACGACGAATATGAAAATTAAGATGACGCTGAGAGAACCATTTGATATATTTTATGTAGCAGCATGCATTTTAAATTCTGTCAAAAATAAATATCTGTTAGATGCTTTTCAATAAAACAGTAGAAATCTAGAATGGGCAGAATAAATTTCAATTACTAGGGGCCATTAGTAATAATGTTTTACTTATATAAAGTTTTAATTTTGTTTAAGAACACCATACCATTGTGTCTGTGTCAACAATATTATGTGTCTAGAGCTTGATTTAATTGAAATTTGATTTATGGAAGTAATAAATTCTACAGTATACTTAAAGTAACCTTTTGGTAACCAACTTTTTGCAGTTTCATAATAATAATACATTGAGACGGTATACAGCCAATCCGTAACAATAATTTTTCATCGTAAAGTTTACAACGGCAACAAATGGACGCACCGCAATTCTAGGCTTCGACCGGTGCTTCGACTTTTGACATAATAACTGACATTTAAGAAGGTTCTATCTGCATCGCCAATGATATTACCCGTAATAGATGTACCGAGGTGCGGTTCAACGGGGTGCTCGTGACGACCGAAAGGGAAGTCGGTCACGACACGCCGAGTCTGCTGCCTACGAAAGTGAACGATCGCCATTGTTCTGCAACAGGTGTATCTTGATCTGGAGATATGGCGGGTGTTACTTCTCGATGCAGGTAGGGTCACCATACGTCCGTATTTGCCAGAACTTTTGACTTTTTGTCCAAGTTAATCCCAATGATTAATGATTTGCTTTACAGTCACATGATGGGTAACCAAAAAGTCTCAAGTTTTATTTACACTGTAAAATTCACTGTATTGTTATTTATTCAACATCTACTGTATTTTTGGCACAAACACTGCAATTTTTAGGCATCAACACCGTATTTATCAATTGCCCACTGGCTACACTGCGATAAGCCGTTGATCACGGCTGCATTTGCAGTCGTTAGCATCTACCAATCCATACTAGAGAGGTATGCATGGCATAGCGGATTTTCCAATCGGATTCGTCTAGGGAAGTGACCTCTACTTTACAAAAGATAAACTATACTAACAGTAAAATAAAACTACTTTTTGGTGTTGTGTTTCTGTCGGTGAGTAGGGTCCAGGGATCCACGGGGTAGGGGATTGGGTCAGGGTATGTAAACAGACCGAGTGATAATTATGGTATCATCATCATCATCATCAGCCTCTTTATGTCCCCACTGCTGGGGCACAGGCCTTCCCTATGGATGGAATAGGGAGATTGGACCATGACCCACCACGCGGGCCCAGTGCGGATTGGCGGGTGCTAACGACTGCAGATGCAACCGATACCAACGGATTAACGTGCCTTCCGAAGCACGGAGGAACTCGAGATAGAAATTTTTGGTCAACCATCCAATGACCGACCACTGCGAAAGTTGCTTAACTACAACGATCGCAGCCGAACGCGCTAACCACCTGCGCCATCGATCCTCAATTTTGGTATAGCGAGCATCTATAGGTTATGGTGGCCGCTTACCATCAGGAGGACCGTACGCTTGTTTGCCACCCTTAAAAAGATGGCAAAAAATTGGACTCGCGTGGTAGATAATGGGCCGTACTCTCTATTTAATCCATAAGCCGATGATTAAGACGACCTCCGTGGCCGAGTGGTATATACCGGGTTTCATGGTATCGCCAACTCGAGAGGGGGAGGAGATAGAGGTTGGAATCCCGGTGGGGGCTGATAATAAATAATAATAAATAAATATTTCCAACACTCACACCAATTAGCCTAGCCCCAAACTAAGCACTATAAGGCTTGTGTTATGGGAAACTAGGGGTAACGGATAGAATACATATACTGTACATATATAAGTATATTTATATAGAAATACATGTTAAACATCCATGACTGGAGTACAAATGCTCGTATTCATCACATAAACATCTGCCCCCACCGGGATTCGAACCCGGGACCTCTCGAGTCGGCGACACCTTGAAACCCGGCGTTCTAACCACTCGGCCACGGAGGTCGTCAAACGGACGTCGGAGATATTTGTGTGATGAATACGAGCATTTATACTCCAGTCATGGAAGTTTAATATGTATTTCTACATAATATATGTATCAGTATATGTATTCTATGCGTTACCCTAGTATCCCATAGCACAAGCCTACAGTGCTTACTTTAGGGCTAGGCTAATTGGTGTGAGTGTTGGAAATATTATTATTATAGGGAAGACCTGTACCCCAGCAGAGGGGATTTTAATAAGCTGACGATGATAATGATGATGTTGTTTTGAAGCCTTACTTGGATCCTCGTGGTTTCTAGGGAATGGTCTTAGGTCACCACAAATGCATTTATTTTTCAGTCAGCTCAGGTGTCGGGCTTTTTAAGGAATAGTTATTTATTATACAAGAGTGGAAAGTTCCTTTTTAACCGCGTGCTCGATTTGGATGACCGAGCAAGCGAAGGATTCTAAAGTTGAATCACGAGCGCAGCGAGTGATTCTAAATTAGAATCCTGAGCGTCAGCGAGGGAAACAAACGAGCACAAGGTGAAAAATCTTTCCACTCGAGTGCAATACGTAACTTTTCATCCCACCTCAGCGAGGAAATGACAAAATGAAAAAGAAAACAATTTATAATGACAAAATATTTTTATTTCAATTAAAACACATTAAGATAATCTATAAATTGAAGAAAATAATAAGAAGTAGAAAATAATTAAGAAATATTAAATGTAACGTTGCTACAGTTACTTATGTTAAGTTTAATATTTTTGTTAGGTAATGTTATGTTGGTGTTTGTGAATTGTGCGCTGTTTTGTGGTAAACTACTCGTATCAGTAATTTTAAATAGTTGTGCCGATTCATTGGATTCTATTGGCGTAAATGTTGGCGAGAGAGGGCTATTGTTTCCAATCTTATGGGGGCTCATTTTAGATGTAGAAGGGCGAGACCAAGAATCTGACAGAGGTTCTTTCAGCGTTATGGCCTCCACGATACTATTACAAATTTTTGATTTACTTTGGATTGAATCCTCTATGTATCCCTCTACAACCGAATTAGACTTCCAGCCTCCATGGCGCTTAAGCGATAGAAGATCAGCCCCTGATTCGGCCAAAAGTGTGGCTGAGGTTCTTCTAAAACAGTGACCGGTGTATAACGGGGGTTCTAAAAGTCCGAGAAAAGTTGCTATTTCTCGTGGAATACTGCCAATTTTATTCTGACCCATAGGTTGTCGGATACACTTTCCGTTGCGATATTGTAGAAAAAATCGTTCAATTGGGGTGTTAGAAGGACGTAAAGCTTGATATTTCTGAACAATGTTTACATATTCCTTGCGAATAACGAAGTTGCGGTCTTTTTTTGTCTTGGTATTTAGTACATTAATTAATAGCAATTCATCAGAATTATGAGAATATTTTGATACGTTATTGACATTAAGTAGTGTAAGTTCATTTGTTCGACATGCTCCGGTTATACCAATAATAAGAACAACCTGTAACAAAAGAAGTATTTATAATCGTAAATAAATTAATCAAATTAAAAATATTGTAAGTACTATGTACAATTTTATCAACAACAAAAAATTACACGTATTGACTTACTTTTGCCGCTAAATATACGGAATCAGGTGCTTCATTAATAAACTTTGCAATTTCAGATGCTGTGAAAACCTTCGATTTTTTTGGTTTATAACCAGATGAGGCTCTTTTTAAAAATGCCACTAATTTATGATAGGTGTCGATATGAACGTCTTTCTTCATCTTAATTGTTAATTTTAGCATTGAATACGTACTCCATAGCGTGCTTGCTTTCTTGGTCTCAGATAATTCTATAAAATATGCCAGCAAAACGTTTTCGGAGAAAGTTTTTGCTCCTTTAGCTAGTCGCCACATGTTAAATATATCGTACTGTTTCAAATACTTCTCTCGTGATTGCTGAGGGAGAAGGCTCATTTGCGCATTATTAACTGTTTCAGTTAACTCAGTTGGCGTTAGATAAACTTCATCGTCGCTAATGTCACTCATTTTAGTTGATTTTTTTGTACAGTTTTTAGGTTATGTTAATTATATTAAGCAATAAAACGTGAAAAACTAGAATGGCGCGAAGCACGCAAATAAAACAAAGAAACCAAGAAGGTTCCAAATTTAAATTTTTTCACAATTTAAAAAGTTCTAATCATAAATTTGGCACCATAGAGGTTACATTAAATAGGTTTAATGACGTTTTGAATTTACAATTATATTGAGTACTCATTATATGTGATGTTCTAAATTCAAATCTACTTTGCCGCTCAAGCGAATAAAATAGAATTTTCCAGCCAGATTTCGAAGCGCAAAATTACACTTTCCGAGGTGGTGGGATGAAAAATGTTTTATTGCTATATTAAGTCACCGCGCCGCTTTCTGCGTGTGACCTCTTTTAATATGTGTCTAGGATTTGTTCGTGCATTTTGTGAATGAATCGGACTTCTAATAAATAATAAAATAAATAAATAAATAAAATAAGTTTTTTTATTTATTCAATCGACTTTCAATCGACTCAATTAATATCCTACTTCTCGGATTTCTGAATGGTAAACCTAGTTAGTGCTATTTCAACCATCTAACTGTGAAACGGACACCTATTATCTTCCTTATTAACGTTGTTATGAACTTGGAGAACCTTTAATGGTGTGAATGTGGAACGGTGGACTGTACATATTTATAACAAGTATAACGCTTTGCTAATGTTATTCAAGGTTTACTTATACAAATAGTTTATATATTGGGAAGCCCATAAAAATGATTTAAGTAGGTACTAACTGTAAACATGATAACTATTTCGGTATCAGAACAGAAAGCCCGGAAGAAATGTTTTAGCGGTGTAGAAAGCATTGATTTAAGCTCGACCTGGTTTACAGTAGTTTGTCTTTGTTAATCAATTTATCAAAATGTCATTCGTGTGATGTGAACAAAATATGTAACGAATTTTTCTTCGTGTAATAATAATATAGATGAATAACTAAAATAAACACGTTTCTTTTACATTATCATCTGGAAAACTCTATAACTGTTTTATGTTGTGTTTGATTGAATTTCCCCAGTGAAAATCACACAAAATCAATAAAGATACTCTAAACTAGTTATAAACTCAAAAGCAAACTAGTGTAGCCAAAACATCTCTCGGCTCTTCTTCACGTAGAATCAAACATGCTCGTTATTCAAGTAAGTAAAACCATAAAGAAGAAAGTCGTACAAATCTTAGTTTTTATGGCGATGGACCATAAAATCGTTAATTGTTACCTATCATCAGTTCATCGAGATCTCTACACTTTCGTCACTATTAAAAGGGCATTGCTATGAACAGGCAGATAGTCTTCCTGCGTAATAATTGCCGTGTACTAAAATTTTTGGATAACATTGCATTATGATTTTATAGCGTATCGTAATAGAACTATTAATTATGTTTTTATTTTTTAAGCATTTAACTGCTAGATGATTAAAAGAAAAGTTTAGAGAAAATTCAACACGGCCGTCAGTGCCGCAGTAGCATAATGGTCAGTGCATTCGCCCGGATAGCGAAAGGTGCGGGTTCGAGTCCCGTCTGCTGTCTGGTTCGCGTGGATTTTTTTCTAGTAAACTTTTCGTTTTCTAGTAA